GGACGCGCGCGCCCCCCGCCACCCGGACATGCCGCCGAGCGCTCCGCTCCGGGCGTCCTCTCGGAGGGGCGGTCGGGACCAGGCGCGAGCAAAAAGCCGCGCGCCAGTGATGCATCTTTGGCGCCGTTTGTGCGCGTGCAGCCCATGTTTGTAGGGAGGCCGTCGCGCGGAAAGGGCGCCATTCTGACTCATTCCCGCTCCGTCCCGTGTGGGCGGGCGTTCCGTGATGCGGAAGGGGATGGGGTGATGGTGCCAGGGGGAGGCAAAGGCGCATCGAAGGCGGACCGCCGTTACTACTTCAGCTAGCCTTCGCAGAAGAAGCAGGGAAGGCAAAGGCACAAAAAAAAAAACGCACAGAGCGGCAATGTTGGCATGTGCGCATGGCTCTTGGCGATGCGCCGAAGCCGGGGCAGAACGAAAAAGTCAATCATAACAAATCCCAGCAAATGCCAATAACAAAACAAAGAAGGGTTGACTCATCGATAAGGGATAGCGGTAAAAACATGAAAACTGAGAGGGGAATATAGGAAGAAGGCGAGGCAACGACGTCGCTTCACGGTTTTCCGACGAGTGCCTCCCCCAAAAGGCGTTCCACCTGCATCCACAGCCGCTGCCTCCACTGCGGTGCCCCCGGAATGGTGTCCCCGAAGCCTCCGTCCAAAAGGCCGCCGGCTGTCCGCTGCACAATGTCACTTATCTGCGCGGCGGAGAGCGTTCCACTGTTGAACGCTGGATGCAGCAACTGGCGCAAATACTCAACAACAACTCCGCGGTCGATTTGTGGGGGCGCCGCTTTGGTGTTCCTCCGCAGCCCCGCTGCTTCCTGCTGGTGCTGTTTTTCGTCTTGCTGCCGAGATTCTGACCGCTGAGGCGGGGTTGGGGTCGCAGTCCGCACTCGCCCCCGCGACGGGGATGCACCAGCAGCATTGGCGAAGACGGCCGTCGCAGGGGAGCTAAGGCGGTAGGTGGGTGCGGATCCTGCTGTTATCCGTCTTTTGGGCGGCGTTGGCGTTGGCCTGGTCGTGGGCGTGCGGTGGCGCAGGAAGGCTGCCTTCTGAGGGGGTTGTCGCGACGGTGTCTGCACCAGGTCCAACTCACGCGCTTCTTCAGCACTTTGGAGAAAGGACACCGAGCGTCGTGGCGAATCATTCAGCCTCCGCGTCAACACCGTTCTCATTTTCCCATTATCCACTTTCTCCTGTTGACGAATGCTGCTGTTGTAGCCGCCTTGACGCCTTCTTTCAGTCCGCGGAGTCAGCTCGTTTGCGGAGTCGCCGTGGTGCAAGAATCGACGAAGATACGAAGAAGACCTGGCTGCTGGCACATGTCGGCACGATGTGGGCTCCTCCCCCTTTCCTTCGCCGACGCGCGGCGTCATAGAGCTGCTGGTATCTACCTCGCCGTGCCTTGTCACACACTCAAACTGCTCCTTTGGTGGCGGCGACAACGTCGCAGGCTCTTCTTCCACACCCATGGCGTGACGCATAACCCCCATGATCAGGAACTGCTGCAGCTGCAGAAGTAGTGATATGAAGGCATGTTCCTCGCAGCGCAAAAGCTCTTGCCGTCCCAACGCCCATTGCTGCATAATACTGTGTTGGGCGAGGCAGGCGTTCACGATACTGGCCACATCGGAGAGAGGCACAACAAGAGTAGCCCCACCAGTACTAGTAGCGGCGGTACGGCTT